GAATTTTCTTAAATTGCGAATGTTGACAGGCATGCCGTTGAAAATATTGAGAGAGATTAGATGCATTATTCAAACGAAAACTCAACCTTCTAGACAACGTAGTTGTGGTGTGACCAACATATATATTATTTTTTCTGTTGGAGATACAGTATCCCAAGGGACATTTAAATTTATACATAATTTTGGTTTTCTGCAACACGTTAATTCGTGGAGAGGAGACATTACGAATGATTAAACTGAATATATTGAATTTAGCATAGTAAATAATTAATTTTATTTTTAATAGGATCTGTGGTGGATATATTAGTATTTATTAGTTTTTTAGGATATTTTCGTCCCGTTTATATCTAGAATGTATTTAATTGTGATATAAAAGATTAATATGTTTATTTATTATATTATTTGAGGAAGTATTATATTCTATTTGCTTTATATTAAAATTTCTAATACAATGTCTTATTTGTTCGCCGACAATATAATTAAGGAAGTTATTATTAATAAGAGTTTGTTTTATTTTTTTTTTTTTACTTCACTGTAGAAAATATGTTTTGTGAATGAGTCAATTTTTGCAAGTTTTATTAGGTTGTTTATAATTGCTATTTTATAGTAGTTTGGGAATTCACTCTTATAGTTAAGAGTGCACGAAGTTATGCTCGTAGGTTTTTTTTATATGGGGAGATAATGAATTTATTATTATTAGTGTTTATCAAAATATCTATAAAGAGAATTTTATTACTATTATTAAGTTCGTATGTAAATTTAAGGAGAGAATTATTTCGGGATTGTTTTTGGAGTTGATATATTTCATCCACCTTCTTGACTAAGATAAGGATATCATCGACATATCTTAGGTAGATTGAGTTTTTTATTTAACTTTATTAAATATATTAGTTTCGAGATTAGACATATAGAAATTAGTAAAAGTTGGGCCCAGAACTGAACTCATGGAAACGCCATCCCGTTGTAGATATATGTCATTTTTGTGATCGTAGAATGGGACTTCCCTTGACGTTACGCCGCGTGAATGTTTATATTATAAAATTTAAAAATTGTACAGTACATAATTTTAACGTTTTTCACTTCACAAGTAAAAAAAAATAATTTTCAGATGAATACAGCAATTTTGTCTTGGCAAAAAACAAGACCCTGAAGATGACATTGTGTTAATGTCGAAAGCACTCTGGAATAAAATGGATGTACATCAACATGGCAATTTTCTGTCTTCCTTAAATAAGGATACTAAGAAATTCGTCCGTAAATATGAGCGGGCCCTATTAAGAATAAGTAGACAAAACTTGTGTAAATTATTTAATGCGACATGTCTTAATGGAAACATGCTGCAAAAATATACGCAATACACAAAGAGAGAGAGAGAAACACACACAGAGAAACACACACACACACACATATGTATGTATGTATGTGTGTGTGTGTGTGTGTGTGTCTGTGTGTGTGTGTGTGTGTGTGCAAATATATAGAAAAATAGGAAAGAACACGTTAAGTAAATAATCCGAAGTTCTTTAGTATTTTTGTTTTTATTTTTAGAAAACAGTGCTCAGTACAAAATTAGAGCCTAAATTATAATTATTTTTTGCGAAGGAATCCTATTTTTAAAAAATAATTATGATATATATATATATATATATATATATATATATATATATACACACACACACACACACATATATATATATATGAAAAAATAAAGTTTTAAGGTGTGCTATATTTATGGGATAAAGTATTCAATATCAGAGAGTGTGGCTGTAAATATAAAAGTCAACATTGAAGCCAACACTCAGAGGCGACAGGCTGTTTCGTGCTAGACGCAATCGTCAAGCCGCTGATTGTATCTAGCAGGAAACAACCTGTCGTCTCTCAGTGTTGACTTCAATATTCACTTTTATATTTATATATATATATATATATATATATATATATATATATATGTGTGTGTGTGTGTGTATGTGTGTGTGTGCGCGCGTGTATGCGTGTGGTGATGATTAAGTTACCGAAGCAGTGACGGGCTACGTTAGGTTGAGTCAGAAAACATTTCCACTTTTATTTATTCTCTCATTTTTTTTTTTTAAATAAAGCACAATTACATTTTATTCAATTATATGTTCGCCATTATTTGAAATGACTTGTTGCCACTTTTCAGGGGCAGCTCTTCGATACCTTTTGGGTAAAATATCACAGGTTTTGATGCGAGAAACTTTTCGACAAACTTTTGCATTTGGTTTTTATTTCAGAAAGTTTCTCTATAAAAGCGTTCTGTAGCGATCGAAATCATAACAGTCAATTGGTGCAAGGTCAGGTGAATATGCCCGGTAGAATAGAACAGACCAACCGAGTTCCATATTTTTTCCCTGTATCACAACTTTTGTGGTCAAGTCACTGGACTACTTCAAACCAACGCCTTTATCCACTGGACCAAAGGGTGGTGAACAAAAACTTGGAGTGTTGAGTTAAAGGGAGATAACTGATATTGAGACACCCAGAAGAGGCATGGTGCGTGTAACTAGATCAATCTACCTCGATGGACGAACTTCCAATCACTTGAAGAAGGCCGGAGCGTACAATGGCCGAAACGTAGTTAATATGCCAACAAAGATGAAGGTAACAGTCTGAATATTGTAAATAGTATAAATGCTTATGATTCATCCTAATATCATGTGCATCGTATGTCTAACACAAAAGAAAATGCTCCTGGAAGGCATCTTTCACTATCCCAATATACCTTTAGATTTTTCTGTCACATTTTCCGTCATCTGTTAGAATACTATATATAAAACCAGATAATTAAATTGCTTGCCTCTCTTGATTCTGACATCTCCAATTTACTGCTTGCATCTTGGACTCTTCCTCTTGCTAACAACTTTACATTCTATCTTTCTACAGTTGGTCTTTTCTTCATCCTTTCCTTTACTACCTTGTATAGGATTTTATGCAATTAATATAACAGAAATTACTTACTACTCAACCGAATATTAGGTGCCTCTTATATTTAACAATCGAGGAAGCGTAGAGCCGAGTTCGAATTCCAGTCGAGGGACGGTATGAATCCATCTCTTTTGTCCCAACTATGGGTAAATAGCAGGTCAGACTAGGTCCTGTAGATTTGGGTGGCAACCGACCTAGGAGAAGGAAAAACACTGAATTTAAAAACAGTCCAGAGCGGGTTGGACTCCGCCAGGCTATCTTGCCCTGGAAACACCACTGCTACTAAGGCAGAACGTGTGGTGCCCCTACGATCCTAATAGGTTTATAAACTACGTCATCATGAACGTGATATTTAACACAGAAATTTTATTACGGCGAGTCATAAATACTTTCCTTTTTTTGTTTAATTTTATTCCTGTTATGGGATCTTACCCATAATAATAATAATGGACTATTCCATACTTAATAAATACTGTTCAAGTCGAGTCAGAAGTTCAAGTCGAGTCAAGAGTCGAGTCAGAGGCAGTCCGAAACAGAGTCGCATTCAGACAATTACTGTAAGACATTGGAATAGTGATACTGGTCGAGACTACATTGTTCTCTCTACTAAACCTGATTGTTCATACTAACACTTCTACTTCTTTGTATATATTCCTGTTTGTAATATATCTGTGTTATTCCATATACGTGTTCGAGTTCTTCTTTATTGGTTCTACCTTGGACTATCACCGTGATACAAGGAACCGGACCATAACAATTCCCCACAAAATAAAGTAAAATGTTTTTTATACCGTCGAGTTCAGCCCAAACAAGGCATTAAAGTCACTAAGACACGAGGGGTTACCGGGTGTGGAAGGGTCAGAAACAGAAACATTGCTAAAGAGCGTGAAGAAAAGAAGAGTAATCAGGTGGACAGTAGATGGCGATTGACATTGCATTTAAAGTTTTGAAGATTAAAGCTGGCTGGAAAGCATGGAGCTGGAAGAGAGCTCCATAAGCGAGACGTGCGGGAAAATAAACTGTTAGCATAGAACTTACGGTTACATCTAGCCAGCTCGACTGTAAACTGATGAGACCTCGTCGTCAGTCTGGTACTGTGCTTAAATTCATAAAGTATTATATTCACCCTTAATTGCAATGACTTGTCACTTACTGGCAGATCTTTGATACCTTTTGAGTAAAAATCCGCAGGTTTTGATGTGAAAATGCTTTTGATTAACAATCCAATCTGTTTTTCAACAGAGTAACTCATGAAATATGTTAGAACTCAGTTGGTTAGTTCCACTCACCCATGACCATGTACTAACCGATTATTCCTCTGTTGAAAAACAGATTCGATTGTTAATCAAAAGCATTTTCACATCAAAACCTGCGGATTTTTACTCAAAACGAATCAATCACAACCTCGTCTTTAAGTTTTAAAAAAGTGTGTATATTCTTGTGGGTATATTGTATTAAAGTTTTTTTTTTACACAAATAACACTTAAATTATAAATATACATATATAGTGTATCACAAAAGTGAGTACACTCCTCACATTTCTTCAAATATTTAAGTATATCTCTTCATGGGACAACACTGACAAAATGACACTTTGACACAATGAAAAGTAGCCTGTCTGCAGCATATATAACAGAGTTAATTTATTTTTCCCTCAAAATATCTCAAAATATAGCCATTAAAAGCTAAATCCCTGGCAACAAAAGTGAGTACACCCCTTAGGAAAAGTTGTCAATATTAACATACAAGTGTTATTTGTGTAAAAAAAACTTTAATACAATATACCCACAAGAATATACACACTTTTTAAAACTTAAAGACGAGGTTGTGATTGATTCGTTTTTTTACGGCTTGTCAACCCTTTACAGGTTGTTTAAAGCCATAAAATATTTTTAGACTAAGAATTTTAACAACGGTTTCGTGATACAAGTAACCCATAACTGGAGGAAAAGTGGTGGTTTTATATCTTTCCCAAGGGTATTTCGCGCGTAAGTATATGTAACGAACCCATCGGGGATTAGAACTCGGCTCTCCGATTAACAATTCCGAAACATTATCCATTGCACCACTTGGTATTCTCAAGCGGTCACCCATCTAAGTACTGACCAGGATCGACGTTGCTTAACTTCGTTGAACATACGCATACCGGCGTTTCAACCTGATGTGCCCGTAAGCCAAAATACGGCGTAGCTTGTGATTACATGAATAGACAAGTGTATTTGGCGCTGTAGGCTGTCTTTGTACGTCGCCAGTTCTGTGTTCTTTGTCCTTTGTTTTGGGGTTTTTTTTTTTTACCTTTTGTTTGTAAACAGAAATCAAACAAACAAAAAATACCTTTTTTTTTCTGCATTGCAGTCTATTCATGGCTGTCAATCTTGCCTTGATTAAGCTATGGAAAGCGAAAGAAAACTACAGATCGTTACTGTTTTGTTGAGAGGACCGAATAGGGTAGCCATCAATTTAAATGATACGGAACTGTAATTAATTTTATTCAGAAAACCAGCCATTTCTTAACATAAATATAAAGGGAAATCTGTTTGAACTGTTGATTAGATAAATAGAACAAAAATTCATATCGATTTGTTTGTTTGTTTTTAACTATTATTCACCTAGTCCCAAGAGCCACTCAAAGTAGAGGATTACTGAATGAGTTTGTTATAAGGGCGTAAAGAAGGAAGTAAGAACGATTTTTTTTTGTTTTTTACAAATTTTTTACAATGATATTCAATCTGTACGAGGTCAATCGAGGTAAAGGTTACTGAGTAAGAGGCACAGTTTATGCGCTGTCCTGGGTATGACGATAAACTACATCCGCATCTTGGGTAAGACGATAAACTACCTCCAACAGCAAGGCCTCTGATCAGGAAGTTTTGAGAAGCGTGGAACCACCTCTTAATTGCTGGTGTTCATAGGTCCACCCTGACCCGGTGTGGTAGCACCTGTTAGGGTCCCAGTTGTGGGTAAATAGTTAACACCGAAACTGAGGTGAAAATTCTATGAAAGTGAAAAAATAGGTTTTAATACCAGAAATACTTGTAAAAATAAATTATTACCAACGATATATCTTTTTGAAGGAAAAAATTATTACTAGCAATACTTAAAAAAATATTATCAACTATACATTACTATCAAAATATTTGCCGTGAAAATGACAATAGATTAGCGAGAGGGGGAGAAACTTTTTGTCTTTTTGGGGAAAAGGGCTGGAAGGTGGAAAAATAACTCATCACCCGCAAGGCCGCGTAAACGCTTTTGAACTCTGTAAAGGCTGGAAAGTGAAGATTGTGCAGCTTCAGCTCAGATGTGACAGCAATACTTCATTTTTGGTTAGAATTGACTCTTGTAAAGACAGAGCATGACAGTAGAAGTCAGATACAAGGAACCGACTCTTTTCCAGCATCTTCAGCGATGGTTCTAATGTCCATATTAATTTTTAATATATATATTTTTTTAATTCCAAAATGACTGTTAGTTCTACTTTCGGTTGAAATTATAAAATATTTTTATTAAAACAATTTTTTTCAGGAAAATAGGTTTCTCAACACCAGTAGCTGTTATTGCTCTTTCCACTATGACAGGAGTTTCCTTCCTAGCATTTTTTTCGAAGTAGTATGGAACGTCAACATCTACATTACATCATTTCTTTCTTCGTGTTACATGTGCTTTTCATTTTAGTTGTTGCTGCTGTTGAAAGTGCTCTAGTGATGTGGTTTCTGTTATTTGGTACAGTTCTTTGTGATTCTGTAGCGCCAGTCCACAAGGTTTGAAGAAGAACGGTCCTCACTATGACTAAAAGACTTCATTCGCTCGAAACAGTTTTTAACTATTAGTCTAAGAAGGCAGATGTATACAGCTAATAGTTTACATATTTCTGGATGGTTTGGCGCCATCCTTATGAAAGCCTTAATAGACGAGGCCATTTAAAAACATTATTGAATGTTTAAGCTAATGTTTTGAGTATGTGTTATACCGGAACGTACCTATTCTATTGTAAATAGACTCTCCTAGATATAATAAGTAGTAGCAGTCGCCAGGGGGGCTCAGAGTGAGTTGTGTGAGTCAGTCGATGTCGGACATTGAAGTATCAACCTCCGCAACTAGATTGCTGCGTCATTAACTATTATTTTCAAGTTCCTAACGTTTTGTACGTCGAACCTAATTTAGGACCGACTTAGTGAAATACAAGCCTCCACTGTGAAAACTACTCTACAACATTATGAAAGCAACTTTTCGACTCTAATCAACGTCGAATTGCTTAAGTATCTCATTTTACACCGGCTTCTTTCGGATAAACAATATGACTTTCGTTTCTCTAGGTCAACCGCCAATGTGATAATGCTTATTACTGAATTTGTCTGTCAGGTTTTAGATAAGAACGGCGAGGCTTGGGTTGTGGCTTTAGATATCTCGAAGGCGTTTGACAGTATGTGGCATGCTGGCCTTCTCCACAACTTCAAAATCAGTAATGGTTCAAGCCGAATATTTGGTTTAATCCAATCGTTCTTAAATCGTGGTCGTGTTGAATGGGTTCTCTTTTATATTATTTCACATTAATGCAGAGTTGGGTGGGGGCGCAGAGATCTATACTTGGACCTGGGTTATTTCTCATTTTCATCAATTAGGTATTTATGCTGATGACATAACTATTTCCTTCTGTCTTGGTAGTAAATCCGATAGGTTCAACAACGTAAAACTGACAGCTGATCTCGAAAATGGCCTCCAATCAGTTGTTAACTGGGGGCAAGGAATAGCATGCAAATTTTAACACCTCCAAAATGAATCTATCTTTTAATCATCATAGGGAAACATTTTTGTCTTCCATCAGCACGGCTGATGCTAACCTCCAGGAGAGCAACTCATTGTGCCTTCTTGGGCTCACGTTTTCTATTGACATAAAGTGGATTGATTATATTGAATCAAATGCTAGGTCTGCTGCTAGGAAAGTTCGTTCACTGTGTCGCGTCAGACAATTTTTCTCGTCAGGATCCATCTTGCACATTTATAAATCTACCATTCGTCCGTCCATTGAATATTGCTACCATATCTGATCTGGAAATCCGTCTATATATCTCGACATTCACAACAAAATACAAGGAAGAGTCAGTAATGTTATCGGTCCTAACCTGGCTTATCGTCTTTGTCACTTTCCATACGCCATGACGTGGCTTCTCTCTGTCTTTTCTATAGATATTTTCCCAGCAATTTTCCTAATCTAATTTTTCTCCTTTTTTACCTCGAGCGCAGAAATTTAAACGTACCACTAGATTGGCAATTAGGTCTCATCGTTTTATTTTTGAACTAGCTAGATGTATCCTTAAGTTCTATTCTAATAGTTTCTTTTCTCGCACTTCTCACCTGTGGAACTTTTTTTTCCGATTTCTTCCTTCCCTGCCTTACAATCTTCAAAAATTTAAATGCAACTTCAGTAGACATTTTCTCTCTTTCTGGATTATTCTTTTTCCTTTCTCCCAACTAAGGTCTTCTCATTTTCTTCCCCACCCAGTAACCTCATGTATCTTAGTGGAGTTTTCACCTTTAAACATGTAAAGTGGTTAAAAAAAAACAAAAAAACAGAAAAATTAAGATAAAATCCATTAAATTTCTTCGTAAATGCAGCGCAATTCAAGGGACGCTATTCAGAGTGACCATGTTTAGATTTATTCAAGGGAAATAACTCAGCAGTTATTTCCCTTGAATAATTCTAATGCTCACTTTTAAAGCACAAACGTCGTAGTGATCAAGCAAAAAAACTGGTGAAAATTTTTTTTCCCTTATTGACCATAAATGCACCTTGTTGGTATGCAATTCGTGTCTGTATCAGTACTGGAGACCAGCTAGTAATTCTTTATTAGGGATTGCTCTTTTTTGTCTATATTTATCACTTCAATGAAAAAAATAAAAAAAAAAAAAGAGCGCCAGCGAATTATAGCCAACACGGAAATTCACAATACACACAAACACACACGCACATACACACGCACATACAGACATACATACATACATACATACATACATACATATATATATATATATATATATATATATATATATATATATATATGTGTGTGTGTGTGTGTGTGTGTGTGTATATCATTAAATAATACACCCCTACCCAGTACCAAAAGTAACAATAACTGATACATTAAAATATAGACATATTGAACACCTAGACACCCCTGTCTAGAAAAATAGTTTTATCTGTAACCTTGGAAACATGAATTTTGTTTTAGCTGTGTATTTAAAACCCAGTGATTTTAAAAGTTACTCCAAAATTCGCTTGAGGATGAAATGGAACTAATGACTTTAATTTAATCACAAAATTAAATTCGGGGCTTTTAGCTTCCATTTTTGAAACATGGTTAGAATTGTGTAGCGGAAAAAAAAACATATTTTAAATCAATTAATTTATAATATTAATGCTCTGTAAATTTACATCGAGCACTATTTTGTAAAAATAAAAATATCTATAAGAACACCGGATTATATATCTTACTGTTCTTTCTTTTTATTTATATACATATATGTATATATATATATATATATATATATAGCAGGACAGACTGGGTTCTATAGCTTTGAATGGAAACTGGTTTAGGAGAAGGACAACTCTGAATTCAAAACCTACGCAGTGTCGTTTGGTGACCTTGTGGCACATAATGCACCAGGTCTCTGTATTTGGAACCTCCAAAAACTGTGTTTGGTTCTGCACAAACTCTTCAGCACTATAATCAAATCATGTGTGTTGGTGTCCGGGCTGTCGGTTCCTAAGAACTGAGCTGCTTGTCCCTCACAAGTCGAATACGACGGGAGAGTCCACCATATATATATATATATATATTTATTAAAAGACATTTTTATTTATGTTTAACGTTGTTATTTTATAGATACAAGTATTTAAGCAAATGCTCTGTTTATGATAAACAGTATTAAATAACATTTACCGGCCTGAATGTCCGAGAGATTTTCCGTTCATAGACAGTTCGAGATCCTATACGGAACCGTCATATACGCTTGCCTTGACCACTCACCATGTTATAAACAAATTTACTGTTATAAACTACAATCTTCCATGAATCTCGTACATTCATAACCATAAGGTCTACCATAAGGTTCATGGTGGCCGAGTGGTCAAGGCACGTCAGCGTATATGACGGTTCCGTATAGGATGCAGG